TTGTCCAATAGCCTGTCATCCCTGATGATGGCCTATTCCATTAGGCTGAAAACGTTTGTGATTTAATAATATTCTCAGCGTTATAAGGTGTTAAATGTTTTATTAAATGTTTTAAAAGGAAGCTGAGTTTGATATTCAATTTATTATTTCAGGACTTCATTAAAAAAAGAGCTGCTATTTTACATGGTTATATCAGACTATGTAATCTTCACCAACTTATCTCTATATCTGATATATATGTACATATATTGCATTTTAATAATATATTGTGTATGTATGTATATACAGCCCGTTTCAAAATTATAAACACACCCAACATTTTTCAATAACAAAAACATTAACTATAGTAATGTATTTATATTAGTATGTTGTTTACAACATCAATTTAAACATTTTCTGAAATTTTTAGAGCAATCTGACAATTACAAAAACAATTATCAGAAATTTTCAATTTTTGAGTGTTTCAAAAATATAAACACAGGTGAATAAAATTAATATAATAATTTTTTATTAATTATTAGTTTAATTAGTTGTCAACAGAGGGGAGTATCATTCATTATTAAAAACATGGCGCAAATTTTAAACAGTTTTTTGTGATTTAAAGCAATGCCTCATGGAAAAACACTAACAAAGTTGGAAATATGTGAAATATACCAACTAAAAGGATTAGGATGATCTCTAAGACAAATTTTGGCAGCTATGAATCAATCTACACATGCTGTGAGAAATGTGTTAACTCAGGGTGGAAATTATGGCAGAAATAAGCAATGCAAAAGGCCTAAACTCCTTACACCTAGAAATGAAAGAAAGGTTTTTCAGCTACTGACAGTCAACAAGTTGTCTGTCAGAGAAGCAGCATCAACATTGCCAATTGCAGTTTCACCAGCAACTGTATGGAGATGTATGCATAATCATAAAAATGCCAAATTTACCAAAATGACTGCTAAACTGAAATTAACACAATTGTACAAAACAGCTAGATGAAAGTGGGCCAAAGACAAGATGACATGGAAAGAGGAATGGAAACAAATAGTCTTTTCAGATGAAAAAAAGTGGAATTTGGATGGGCCAGTTATAGTCACCACTGGCATGATTTGGGGAAGAACGAAAAAGTCAGAATGAGCAGACTGCAAGGTGGGGGCTCTGTGATGGTGTGGGCATGATTTGGATGGGGAGATAAAACAGATATTATATTTATAGAGGGTAGAATGAATTCAGAAAAGTATCAAGAACTGTTGTATCAAAATTTAATAACTTTTGGATCACTTATTGGNAATGTATTTATTATATTAGTATGTTGTTTACAACATCAATTTAAACATTTTCTGAAATTTTTAGAGCAATCTGACAATTACAAAAACAATTATCAGAAATTTTCAATTTTTGAGTGTTTCAAAAATATAAACACAGGTGAATAAAATTAATATAATAATTTTTTATTAATTATTAGTTTAATTAGTTGTCAACAGAGGGGAGTATCATTCATTATTAAAAACATGGCGCAAATTTTAAACAGTTTTTTGTGATTTAAAGCAATGCCTCATGGAAAAACACTAACAAAGTTGGAAATATGTGAAATATACCAACTAAAAGGATTAGGATGATCTCTAAGACAAATTTTGGCAGCTATGAATCAATCTACACATGCTGTGAGAAATGTGTTAACTCAGGGTGGAAATTATGGCAGAAATAAGCAATGCAAAAGGCCTAAACTCCTTACACCTAGAAATGAAAGAAAGGTTTTTCAGCTACTGACAGTCAGCAAGTTGTCTGCCAGAGAAGCAGCATCAACATTGCCAATTGAAGTTTCAGCAGCAACTGTATGGAGATACAGGTAGGCCTCCTACAACGCAGTAGATACATTCCTTGAAAATATTGCGTTGTGGGAAATCGCGTTATAGGAGACACCAACTTAATACAAAAACTGGGATTCGGTTCTAAAAAGAGAAAAACTTGCCGTTTGAATGGTGTTTTTTGAATTTTTCAAACCAGCAATTGCTAGCCACGAATTTAACACTGGTTTCATCAGTAGACGACTGTCCCATTTGTTTTAAATAATCAAATATTTTTAAGGCTTTGTGGTTTAACTGTACTTTTATTTAAAGGCAACCATTTCTTATTCATATCTTCTCCCTATAATATTAGCGCTTGTTCCATTTTTGTTTTGTTTTTTCTTTTTTCTATTATAGGTGCTGTCGGACAAGCAACATTTTTCGCAAGAATAGATGATCCGGATGCGACTGAATTCCTAATCTTTTCTTCCTATTGCTTAATCGACTGAATAGTTGACTCATTTAAATTAAAATGCCTACCAATATCAGCTATCCGCTCTTGATTTTTAATTTGATCCAAAATTTCTATCTTTGAAGAGATATATTAATAAATTTCCTTTCTAACAACAATGCTTTTTTTCATTCGACATTGTTATGGCTAAAATTTTTTTAAGCAGTTTTGTGGACAGTAAAAATCGCAAAAAATAACTTCCCTTCATTATGTTGTTAAAAATATACACCCAATAGAAGTTTATACTGTATTTTGGACCAATTTTGCGGTCCCCATCTATTGAAAGAGTATAAATTATTGAAAATTCAGTGATATATTTGAGTGTTTATGGTAAATGATGTACATCTGTCTAGAAACCGGTCTTTCCCTGAAACTTTCATGGTAATAACACGTCAACATGGACAAACAGCTGTTTCCGAGGACATTTAGCTCTGTACACCGAACTGTGGCGCGTATTAAGTGATCCGTTGAGATTTTTCTGTTATGTGAAAGATAATTCGTTTCTAAATACCATAAACCGCGTTGTAAAAGTACCGCGTTGTAAGAAAAATTCCGCATTTTTCCAACCACGTTGGAGCGAAAATGCGTTNCTCTGTACACCGAACTGTGGCGCGTATTAAGTGATCCGTTGAGATTTTTCTGTTATGTGAAAGATAATTCGTTTCTAAATACCATAAACCGCGTTGTAAAAGTACCGCGTTGTAAGAAAAATTCCGCATTTTTCCAACCACGTTGGAGCGAAAATGCGTTGTAAAGGTACCGCATTGTAGGAGGCCTACCTGTATATGCATAATCATAAAAATGCCAAATTTACCGAAATGACTGCTAAACTGAAATTAACACAATTGCACAAGACAGCTAGATTAAAGTGGGCCAAAGACAAGATGACATGGAAAGAGGAATGGAAACAAATAGTCTTTTCAGATGAGAAAAGTGGAATTTGGATGGACCTGATGGTTATAGTCACTACTGGCATGATTTGAGGAAGAACGAAAAAGTCAGAATGAGCAGACAGCAAGGTGAGGGCTATATGATGGTGTGGGCAAGATTTGGATGGGGATGTAAAACAGATATTATATTTATAGAAGGTAGAATGAATTCAGAAAAGTATCAAGAACTGTTGTATTAAAATTTAATAACTTTTGGATCACTTATTGGGAGGAGAAAACTGGCAATTCCAACAGGATAATGCTGCCATTTATACATCAAAGTCAACTAAAAATTGGTTTGCTGAAAAAAATTAATGTAATTGATTGGCCATCACAGAGCCCTGATATGAACCAGATAGAAAATGTTTGGGGCATTATGAGCCATCTTGTTTATGGCTAAAATAGACAATACAATACTGTAAATAAATGGAAATTAGCTATTATGGATTGTTGGGAAAATATTAAACAAGAACAACTTAAAAAACTAGTAAAATGTATGCCTGATAGAATATTTGAACTAATTAAATCAAATGGTAGACCTACAAAATATTGAAATATCACAAATCGGTTTTTTGTGCACATATGTTTATACTTTTGAAACAATCAAAAATTGAAAATCTGTGATAATTTTTTTTTGTAATTTTCAAATTGCTGTAAAAATTTCAGAAAATGTTTAAATTGATGTTGTAAACGATATTTTAATATAATGAATACATTACAATTGTTAATGTTTTTGTTATTGAAAAAAGTTGGGTGTGTTTATAATTTTGAAATGGACTGTATATACACACACACAACCAAACTAAGTCTTTTAGTTTGAACTCCATGGCATGGCACACACTTTTAGTACTTAGTTTCTCTCTTTGCAGTCAGCTTCCCTATTGTTTATTCTCTATCTGAAGGACATTTAAAGGATACTACTTAGACATATACATACAATGATATTTTATTTTACTACTACCATAAACCCTTAATTTCTCCAGCAAATTAACTTCTCTAATTAACTAGCAACAAATGTATTTTACTACTACCATTGAAAAATTGGCTCCAAAGTGGGGACTCAGATGCAATTTTATTTCTGTATTTATGTCTATAATTACATCATTTCCACATACTGCTAAACTGTGCATGCAAGCAATTCTTTGAGTATTCTAATAAATTGAATAATATATTCAAAGGATAGAACAAATAATTTCAAGTGAAGTTCTTTTTGAAGAAATTCCATTTAGAAATCTGATGATGGGTGATGAAGATGCTAAAAATGTTAGTTAGTTAGATGTTAATTTGTTGGAGAAATTAAAGGTTTGTGGTTATAGTACTGAAACTCCAGTTATTTGCTTATTTGATTTGTTTCTTCAGTCTTTAGACTCATTTTTCTATACTTTCTACTATGTAATTGTCTTATTGCCTGCTTAGTTCTTTTTCAAGTACTGTCTTTTACTTTCCATTCTATCACCTCCCTTCTCTCTCTTCTTCCTTTGTACTCCATTCTATCTCCCTAACACTTTTCCTAGACTAAACCATTTAAATAGTGAGAAATTTGTTGTTAAAAAAGTTAATTAAATATTTTGGTTACCTTAACATAGCATTTACTTTTATGATATTTGAATATGGTTTAAACTTTTACACAGTTCTTTAAGAAATGCATTATGTATTTATCTTATCAATAATTATAAATTTAATTTGATATTTCAATTTAATTTATAAAAATACATTCATTATTATTTTAAGCTTATTTTTTTAAATATTAAATTTTAGCCTTTTCTTTACATTTGTTTAAATTTCCAGTTCATAGTGGAATGGCCGATCTTGCTCGACAGATGCTTCGTGATTGTATATATGACCTTGGAGAAATCAGGCAATGTCGAGATTGTTATCGTATGTCTAATGAAAAAACAGACAAATTCTGGTTCTGTCAACCTTGTGTAAGTCTAATTTATTATCTATTTATTAATATTAATCGAATAATCTAGTTGGATTTATATTTTGCCAAATTAAATATATAATTTGGCTAGTTTTTATTATTTTACATTTTATGTAAAATGTAGAGTAAATCATAATTTTTACATATTTAAGAATAAAAGCACTTCTCAATCTCAAGACAGTTTAATTTTTGTATAAATAGTACTTATTTCCTGTAATAACCTTTTTAATATTTTTATATTATAATATAGTAAGTTAATGATTTCTGAAATAGTTACTTATGGTGATCAATAGAATTAAATAATCTAGTTTGATATCAATATTATGTATACTGTTAAACCAGTTGTTACTAATAATTTTCTAATAGTGGTTATTTTTGGTAAATCTTTTAACTAACACACTTTGAAGGACTTGTGTAGAAAATGTAATCCTAATTTTTACATACTGATATTGCAACATGACTTCCAATTATTCTTTGAAAGAAAATTAGGACTTTTGCATGTTTCACTGTTGTCATTGTCTTTGTATATGATTTCTCAAATGTTTCAAATATAAAATGAACTGTCATCGAGAGTAGGTATCAATCTTTTTGTATTTTTAAAAATTTTTCGTATAGCTTCAGATAAAATATATTATGCTGATTTTTCAATGTACATAACAGAAGAATTGGCCACAATTCTAATTTTTAAAGTAACTGTAAATGTGAGCGTCAAAGGGGGTGAAGAATTTTGTGAATAAAATGGTCAGTTAAAGAGGAAACTGGAAACTTTGGATAGAGTGATATTTCGAACTTCATCAAGATTTTATCTACAAAAACGGATGAAACAGCAGAATTTTGAAAGGAAGCTGATTTCCTTTCCCAGGCAAACTGGTGAAGAGCTGATAAGGTTGCACACAGGATGTAAGAGAGAATAAAAAGGGCCGTTTTCACGCCATTCGGGGAGCACTCCAATTCGAGCAGTAGACGGATTGAGAAGTGTCCTGCCATATGCTTCATACAAGATCTCCGAAGTAGTCCATAAAGTAGGAAACTGCTATACTAGGGAGAATACTTAAGAAATCATACATACGACTCCGACATACGACGTGGATATACTGTAGTATAACATACGAGAAGATAATCGGAAGGGAAGATAACTGAATAAACCCCAATAGGAAATACAAGAAGAGGTATACATAAGGAAGGAAGGCGATCTTCGTGCAGATACAGAAGCTACAGAAGGTAATACAAACTCTGAATAGATTGATGTAAACTCTGTCACGTGTTGTTTCAAATATCTCTCACGTCAAATGTTTCAAATATAAAATGAACTGTCATCGAGAGTAGGTATCAATCTTTTTGTATTTTTAAAAATTTTTCGTATAGCTTCAGATAAAATATATTATGCTGATTTTTCAATGTACATAACAGAAGAATTGGCCACAATTCTAATTTTTAAAGTAACTGTAAGGAAGAATCTGAACTTTGTGCATAATAGAATATTAATATGAATAATCATAATATATAATTAATAGCCAGTTTAATTGAAAGTTCAGGGTGGTAAGAAGGAGATCTGTTGATAGTATGATTTTAGATATATTGTACATTAGTAAAAAATGGCAAAACTGTATTTGGGACAAGACTATGACTCGGAGACTCAATATTAAGCGGAATCACTTTGATGCTCAAGGCAGGTCTCGTTCTCATTCTCCAATTTTCTTTGATATCGCTGCTTTTGGGCGCAATCGTTCAAACTTTGTTGGCCACAACCATGCGGTCGTCCACGACGCATTTTTGATGAAATTAACCTATGCAATTTTGAAATTTCTCTCTGTTGCGTGTTGGCCCAGGTTGAATTTTTGTCGATGCGCAACAAAAACGTCCTGTTTTTCATATTCGTAAGCAAAATAATGAAGGATCTGGAGAGTCCTGCATTATAAAGTTTTCTCTACAAAAAATTAAGGTTAACATTATCAAATGCCTTTTCTGAATCAATAAAGAGTGAATAAATTTTCCTTCTTTTCCTTGATATAATGCATATTGAATTAAACCATTAAGAATGAAAGTATTATAAATTGTTTCCCTGTCCTGAACAAAGGCACCTTGAAATATTGAGATGGCATTATGCTCATTTTATTTAACCATTTTATTAATCAATTCAATAATAAACTAGTAAACAGTTTTGTAAACATGTTCAACAATACTATTGGACAATAATTATGTGGATTAGATCTTTCACCTTTTTTGTAAATCATTTTTAATAAAAGTTTCTTCCATATCTTTGGAAAAGCTGCTGTCGGTTTAATTTTATTAAAGAAACTAAGAATTTCTAAACAGACCATCATTGACAATGATTGGATAAATTCGTTTTTTACTCCATTGGTATCAGGTGATGAACACTTTTTTAATCTTTGAATTGCCATTTTTAGTTTATCAATCAATCAACATTTATTTGCTATAGCTTTCACCTTACAAAGGGGTTACAAAATCGTGTGGCATTGATAAATATAAGCATTGTTATACATGATTTCAAAGAAAAGAAAGAAACAACAACACAAACAATAACTAATATATTACATCTTAATTAATAATGTTATGTTAACATGTTTAATATAAAACAGAAAAATTTATAAACTTTAAATAACATACCAGAACTTAAATTATCATCATATAAACAAAACATATCAAAACCAGTTGTCAGTAAACTATCCCTTAAATGTTTGGTAATTTCACAAGATACAAATAAATGGTTTTTAATACTTTCACAAAATTGGTTACATAATGGGCAGTTAGAATAAGCAGAAATATTCATTCTTTGCTTATTTAATACAAGAGTATAGTCATTAAGCCGCAGTTGAATTATCAAAGATTTAATGCTATAATTTAAATTTGACAATAAATAATATCGAGGTGTCCATGGAGCTACTAAAGAAGTCTCAAAAAACCTACACTTTTGTTCAATATAATGGATATCTTGGCCCCAATATTTATCTTTTAATGACTGAGAAATTTCGGCCATAAAAAGTTTTTTATTAGAAATTGAGCATAATAATCAATAGAATAACTTAAGTCATATAATAAGCTTTCAACTGAAGAGGACCAAGTTACAAACGATGAATTTCCACCTATTAATTTCAATTTATTGTAAATCATCTTTCTAGGATCATAATCTGGTAACTCTAAAATTTTACTCCAGTATCTAAAAATAGTCATTGTTAAATGTATAGCCATTGGTGGATGACCCAGCTCAAATCTTAAAACAGGTCCGGGGACCGAAAGATTAATATGAAATATTGATCTAATAAATCTCAATTGCGTCTTCTCCAATTTATCAACAAAAGATGATCCCCAAATAGGGAACATATACCCCAAACTTGAATGTATCAAAGAATCAAGCAATCAGTAATATGATTTAACAGAAGACTGCTTCATTCTAATCATAAGCTTTATTAAATTAGAAAGCTGAAGTTTATATTTCAAAAACAATTTATTTAGGTGAAAAGAAAATGAACCCTATGGAGTAAAATAGATACCCAGATATTTGTAGGACAAAGCAGTCTCCATCTCAGAGTTAAATAAATAAAATTTATCAGCCTTCCTCAACCTACCCCCTCTCCAAAAAACCATTACTTTAGATTTAGTCTCATTAATAAGTAATTTATTAAACTTAACAGTAATCCTGTAGAAGATCAAGTTTTTTCTGAAGACCAATAGGTGAATACGAAAATATTACAATATCATCAGCAAACAAAAAACAGTTCAATTCTACCTACGGTGATATGGTTATACCCATTGTATTATGATTACAAAAAAATTCTGAAAGATCGTTAACAAATAAATTAAACAAAATAGGACTAAGTGGTTCACCTTGTGGAAGTCCTTTATTGGCAGTTACCGCCTCCGAAAGACAATGATTAACTTTCGATTTGATAGTTGGTATTCGAAAACAATTGTCTTGTAAGATTAATAAAAGATGATGATATGTCTATGCCAGAAAGCTTCGACCATAAAATGTCATGATCTATTGCATCAAATGCCTTTGACAAATCAATAAATTCAACATATAATTTTCTCCGCTTCTTAGTCAAAATTAATTGCAAAATTCCAAAGAATATAAATAAATTATAACCAACATCTCTATTCACCACAAAAGCACCTTGACTAATAGAAATAGTATGAGACTGCTCAAGCCAAAGTCGTAAACGATTAGCCAATAACGTAGAAAAAATTTTCCTAATTACACTAATTAGTGATATTGGACGATAATTCAAAGGATCAAACCAATTACCCTTCTTATATATCATTTTTAAGCAAATATTTTTCCAAGTAGTAGGAAAAGAATAATTAGTTTTAAAATTATTAAATATACTTAGCAAGTCGTTTAGAATATTAGTCGGAAGGAATTTAATCATCTCAGCCTTTACAGCATCTAATCCAGGAGCTTTGTTATTTTTTAGAGATCGTACCACAAATTGTAATTCATCAAATGAAAAAATTTCATTGAGTAATGGATCCATATTATTATTAGTATAACTAGATAGTACAACTAAAGGTGGTCCAGAAAAAAGTTTTCAGATAATCTGACCAGTCACAAATAGAGATATTATTATACACAACTTTGCCATTTTTAAATTTATTAACAATTTTCCAAAATTCAGCAGAATTTTTAATATGTGATAATTGAAAGTTAATCTTATTCTAAAATAATTTCTTTTTGGCTTTACAGAGAGGTTTAAAAGTTTCTTCCAAATTAGAATAAATAATAAATTGTTGTTCAGTTCTTGATCGGCGAAATAATTGTAGAGCTCGATTCTTCTCTCTTTTGAATCATAGACAATTACAGACTCAAGAATCACGTCAACAAAAGACGAATAAAAAGAAAAAGAATCCAAAAAAAAACCACCCTTAAAACCAAGTCTGCCTCTTAGCCAAAATTTTGTCACTAATTTGCATTGCCTAGCAGATTTCGAAATTAAAGTACTGTTATTGAATAAGTTAATTTATATTGTCAATAGGCTCTAC